ATGTGCCTTTCCTGAGTGGAGAAGAAACACAAAAGGCAAGGCTGTTGCAGCAGCATTATTTGAGCAGAAATGGAGGATTTCAGTACTACTGAGAACAAGCCCTGCATCTGATTTTAAACATCGCCACTGGGTAATGGTGAAACCTGATGAAAATTCAGCTGTGTTAATTTTTAAAAATAATTCTGGCTGGTTGTGAGTCTCATGTGCTCCTGCATACACAGACTGGAATGGAGTTCAAATGCACTCAGGAGCAGCACTGCTTTTGCTGGAGCTGTGCATTGGTGTCTTCTCAAGGCAAAAAGAATCCTGCTACTGTTGTTTTGAAACTACTAGTTTGGGAAACACAACCTAGTTGTATGGAAAGAAATCAGCAAAATTCTCCTCCTAGCTTTTGTGTGTTTTTTAAATTTTTATTTTAATCTAAAACACTCCAAATAAAATCAATTAAAGGAAATATGTGCCTCAGGACCAGTGGGAAAGAATGGAAATTCACTGATCAATTTAATAGCTTTAAGATGCTTTACAGCATCCCTTGAACTCTTGACTAGGAATGAAATGATCAAATATAGAAAAACTTTCGGTTTTCCACGCGTTAGTATGTGCACACATTTTTCTTCACAAGCCAGAGCTATGCTCTGCCTGTGAATTTTTCTTATCAGTTTAGAGTCATGCAAAACAGAATTGTCTTCCTCCTCCTCTTATCCTTTTTCAAACCGAGCTGTTAGGAGAGGGGTTTTCAGACTCGCTCAGCGTTAGCGCTGCTCTGCTCCCACGGAAGGTGCTAGCAGTCGCACGTCGTTGCCTTCGGGAGCAGACCCCACGGAGTGGTTTGGACGCTGCCGAGCCTCTCATCTCACTCAGCTTTAGTGAGGAGGGCTTCAGCCAGAGGGGTTGCAGGAGGAGGCTCTCAGGAGTGCAGCTGCATCCAGCTTTGTGTCCTGCCTTCTTACACGCTGTGTGTTAAATCTAGAGCCATGCCTTCTCTGTTTTAGAGTTATGTTTGGGTATTTTCAAGCCATCTTTAATCTTTCTCTTTCTCAGCAGGTTTGAGACAGTTTGAGAAAGAACCATAGAAGGCCACTAAAGACGCTGGACCAATCAGTTGGGGGGAAGAAAGAAAAAAAAAAAAAAGGAAAAAGTGCTAAATTGTTCTTTTTATATTTATGTTTATTTACCAAAATGTCTTTTTGCATTATCCCAGTTAAAACCATGTATATTAGCACTGTATTTAATAATCAGTCTAGACATTCATCATAATAGTACTGCCTTTGCACAAGAGCCTTTATTCCTAAAGAAACCCATGCTGTGAAATATATAGACTCTCCTACTGATAGTCACAACTAACTATGTATCTGAACAGTGATTTCAACTGGCGTAAGAGGTCGACCCAAAATACATGTAAAGTGAAGTTGCTTAAGAAAGGTGTGCAGTAAACCTATAAAAACAATGGTTGCTTTTGTAATACAGAAGTCTTTCTTTCTGCACTTTAGACTAAGGCATGGAAGAAGTATCTTTAGTTGACAATGTAATATTTTCTGTAAGTTGCCCATGTCATGAGAAATACTGCATCAATAACGTGTTTTAATTTTTTTTTGTTTTATACTTTTTTTAAGTATCAATTTTTCCATTCTAGTTTAAGTTAATACCTAAATTTGGATGATTATGTTAGCTGACAGCGGTACTGATATTTCTTTTTGTTGTTAGTGACTAGTAATTGAATGCAATTTAGACTATATACACACATAGCTTTACAAAGTTTAGCCTAAAGGCACTACTAATGGTAGAATGCTTTAATACATGCTAGAGTATTATATTTAGTAATAAACATACATAATTAGCCAATATCACAGCTTTAAAAAAATAAAGACAAAATCACACACTTTTCTATAGTAAGATCTCATAATTGCCATTAGAGGTATGGTAAGATAAGTATTAAAAAATTTTAAATGTCAGTTGCCCAGTAACGGGTAATTAAAAAGAAAGTATAGTTTTTAAAAGAGGAAAAGGTAAGGGTCTAGAGGGTCAAAAATAGGTCACTTGTATAAAACGTTGTAGTTTAATTTATATAAAACTACCATATTGAAAAGAAAAAAAAAAAACTAAACACAGTTGGAGCTTGTTTCAAATGACTGCACACTAAATCTTGCCATCCATCAGTGCCGTACACTAAATCCACCTAAAATGAAGTAAACCTCTATCTTTATAGTGCTTCTGTTTAACTCTCTCTCCCGAATATCTTATTTACAGATGTTTTCATTTGTATATAGTAAACACATGGCTATAAGACGTCAGCTTGGTTTAAATTTACATGCCATACAGTTCAGCATTTACATCCTACAGTGTACGGATGGCATAAACTGAGCAACTGAAGTAGCCCCGAGCACGTTGTTGACAGCTTTGTTGTGCCTTGGAACTACCAGGATCTCCCTTTTCACCACTTCCATCTCTTACAGCATCTGACTTCTTCCTAAAGAAGAATAATGTTATATTTCAACCCAAAGATGAGCTCCCCTGCTTGGCTGAAACATCTTGTTTACATATAGAGATGCACATAGTTATTTGTAGGGGGTGAAACTGTGCCTGACATTGTCTGTGAGTTGTCATGTTTTCTGTTTGGGGGTTTTGTAAACACTCCTCTGAGTCTTTCAAATACATCTGATAGCTGCAATAAAAATGATTTGTTCAAACAATGTATTCTGAAACTGCATCCACAATAAATGGAATATTTCCATCAGCAGCCCTCTGTTTGTTAATGAGTAGGAACGTGCCAGTTGTTGTAACTGGGATAGGAACTGTGCTAAGGCCATGTAAAATAACGTGTCGTTGCAAAGAACCTCAAAGGATCTCTCTCCTGATGTACTATCCTACACCAGACAGCCAAGTCATAAAATCCACAGCTTTAACCTACATATTCTTAAGGGGGAAAAAAAATATAAAATCTTAATTGTCATGCCCATCAGTGCAAGACAGGAGCTGTGCATCATCCAGAAGTCAGCATGCTCAATGAAGTGACACATGCTCTGACTTAGTGGCACAGCCATCTGCTTTCCTCCTTTGAAAAATGTTTTCTGTGTGAGAGCTTTTGTGTTTCTTCTGTCTACCCCGGTGGGATGTGCTTCCAGGCTTGGATGATCGTGAGTACCAAGCCTGGGGAGCCGCTGGCTTTCCCGTCATCCTCCGGTCCCAGTCATTTTTTCCTCTAATGGCAGCACAGGATGTAGTGCCCTGCTCTAATCAGGTCACGGTCATCCGAAAGAGCCCCCCTAGGCTGCCGATAGCTCCACGGGAAGCATTGGAAAGGCTGCAGCAAGCACAGCTTTCTGAGCTACTGGGGGAGAAATAATCGGATGCTGCCTAATTTAACCTGAAATTAAAGCATGCCTGTTCTTCTGCCTTGTGCTGACCAACTACGTTGCTGCGTTTCTCTGCAATCTTTGCCGAAGTGACGCTTTTCCTCGTTGATGTAGGGTAAGTTTCTTTTGCTCCTGGTTGTTGCCTTTTCTGAGAGCGTGGAAGTGTGCTGGGCACAATCGGTTCTACTTTACAGTATTTCGTAAAAGTGGTGCGGTCATGGTTTGCTCCCCTCAGCTGCACAACCGCCGGGCAGAGTTCGCCAAAGACAAATCCCAGTGGCTGAGTCAGCAGCTCTGCGAGTTTTTTTGGTGTTTTGTTACCATTAAGAGGTGATGATTTTTTCGGATGATACCAGATTGTCACCTTAGCTTCTGATCATGCTTTCTTGCAGCTCACTTGGCATCTAAGCCAGCCTTTCTTTTGTCAGTGTGCAGAATGCCACAAAACAGCCTTTTTCAAGCCTGCCTTTGCTTTGGCCTAGCATTATCCATCTGAAAATACTTTAAAGCAATTGTGAGTCTACCACAGGGTTTGCTTTGGTGTTTTTAAAGAAAAGTTTTTCCTGTGTTTCCCTTAAAGCCAACCCTTATCTGGATATATTGTTCTGAATGCTGCCAGCAGAGCTGCAAAAATCTAATTTTGCGTTTGACACTTCCAGAGCAAGTCAGTCTGAATTTGTAGGTAGCCCTTAGGTTTGGCTTGGGTACCTTTTGATGTGTCTCATCACTGCATATGATGCTGTCTTCAGCTTTTTACCTCTTCTCACACAAGAGTTCAGTTTCTAGTTGTCTGGAGGGAGGGCTACATGGGGTAATAGGTACAACTTTGTTTAGGTTCTAGCCAGAGCACAATCCTGTTTCATGCATAAGCCACAAAGTAACCTCTATTGTCCTTGTACAGGAATTATAAAAGCTCATTTCTATCTGTGTTAAAATTTGAAACCACAGACTTCAGGCATGTTTTGTAACTAATTGCATGAAAGAATTTAAGCACTACACTGATTAAGTTTTGTTGTTATTCAAACTTTATTCATATAAAGTATTAAAGCATTAGAGATTCACACTATAAAAATCACAACTATGTAAAAAACAAAGTGATTAGAGACAGCGTTCCTTGATGGCACCTCACGAGCCAGCATGACTGACCGCACTGGAAATAACATATAAAAAGTCTTGTAAGTAACCAAAGTTTTTTGTTAAACATGTCTTTAATTAAGGAAAACAAGGAAAAAAGGAAATGAAGAGACATTGTCTTTTTACTACTAATCAAAACCAGATTTCTTTTAACCATCATAACAAAATTTCCATCCCTATTTGATGTATTTTTATACCAGCTAGTGGTGGCTTCCTACAAAAGGAGGATGAGTAACTGCTCTTAATGATTGTCAAGTACAGAAGAACTCATCAAGACTAAGCTACAGTATACATCTTCTAATCTGGAAGGAGTCACACGGAGGTCTTGCAGAAACCACTGGCATTAATATTCTGCTTTGAAGGGGTAGTCCTTGTGATTGACAGCTCTGAGAAGAGAAAGAACTGATTACTTAAGTATTGTAGAAAGTATCTTCAGCAGCATTTCCCAACTGAACTCTCCCTCCCCCACTGCCAATGTAAAGTTTTGCTGCTGGCATTAATTTGAACACAGGCTTGTGAACAAGGATGTGCACTACCAAGATGCTGATGGGAATGCCCTGACAAATCTCCCTCCTGACACTGGTTCCAGGACATATCTCATTACCTGGGGTCCAGGGTTTAAGATATGAGCTCTCCCTGGTTTTGGTCGTGTATGTTTTCAAGATACAGGGGATGAAAATACAGCTAGAGATAGGCCTAGTGGATAATAAAGATAATAAGGAACATACTGGAGCACTGGAACTGCCCTCCAGTTCCTGTTAAAGCTGAGGATGACATCCATCTCCTTTTCAGACAGTTCAAAGTCAAATACCTAGCACGGGAGAAAACAAAAAAAAAAAAACCCTTTTTACTTAGGTTCATCAGTAGTTAGCTACTAGGTATGCTTCATGCATTTATGACTTGAGGTAGGAACACATTGCATCCACACTAAGCATAGTTAAGAAATCCTCTTATTTCTCAGCCAAATACTCATTTACCCTTGAAATAATCAAGATATTCCCTTTCTCTCTGAGGCCCTGTTCATAGCAATGTCCTATAGTTCTGGGTGGTTGAATGCAAACACCACTGCAGTTTGTGTTGCAATGCACAGGCAGAAAATTTAAGGTGCTAAGGATGGATTACTTGATGTGTCACAAATACTGGAACTAGCAATAAATATTTCTGCTACAACAGAGGAGTACTGGGTAGCAAGTGCGAACAGTTGTCTCAATCATCTAAGAGTTCTTGCTGCTGGTTCATAGAAGAAATAAGTCCAAAATGTAGCAGCATGAACTGAAAGTAGCACAGAGGTGCCAGGCCTTAGGAGCAACCAACCAGGGGAACCATAACCTCAAAGTGAGAGAGAAATTCTAAGGGCTCTGGTGTTTACAATTTGTTCCTTTACAGCCTAAAGAGCGGGTCACTAAGCATCTCCCAGAGGAGATGTCCAAAGCTGGGATTCCCCTTCCCAGGGCAGCAGTCCTCAGACCACCCTGGTGTAACCCGTTTCTCTCCTGGCAGGAACACAATGCTTTTCCCCGGAGAACAAGTGTTGGATGGTTAGGGAGTGCTGAGCCCCAATCTTTACATCTCTGCGCTCCCCTTCCACTGCCTCTTAGATGCTGCTTCAAAATGCAGAGGAGAGATAGGTGTGGGTGCCTGCCCTGTGCAAAAAGGTGACAGCAATCCCAACAGAAACTTCACCTTGATGTTTTCCTCAAGACGCTGTGGTTTGTCAGACTTGGGAATGACGATCACGTCTCTTTGGATAAGAAACCGGATCAGAATCTAGGAAAGGGCAAGAGGAGCATGAACACAGGGGCACCAAGAAATCTGTTCAAATGCACTTTGTGGGTTTTGGTTTTTTTAAAAGCACAAAGCAATTTCTCTTTTTATAACCATGTTTGCTCTTTGGAAGATTCTAGTGGTTTGCATAAAGGAGTTTGTGCCAGTATTTCCTTGCAGTCTACTGACAAACTATAATTGTTTCTGTCCTATGTTGTTTCTAAATCCTGGCTTCTCTAGGATTTGGTTTTCATTTGTGGGGGGAGGAATTATGATGCTTCTGGCTTGCGCTGTATGGGTGCTCAGACCAAATGAGCATAATGATACTGCAGATTATTTTGGGCTCACAGGCAAGTACCTCACATAGGTTAAGCTTTTTGAAGTCCTTAACAGGAAAAATATATTTATAGATTTTTAAAAGGTTCCCCCCTCTCAAAAGAAGACTGTTGCATACAATTTTTTGTCCTGCTCTGTCTTCTGGTTTCGGCAGGGATAGAGTTAATTTTCTTCCTAGCAGCTGGTGTAGTGCTGTGTTTTGGATTTAGGATGAGAATAATGTTGGTAACACGATGATGTTTTTAGTTGTTGCCAAGCAGTCAAGTGCTTTTCAGCTTCTCAAACTGCCCTGCCCACAAGGTGGGGGGCACACAAGAAGCTGGGAGGGGACACAGCCAGGGCAGCTGACCCAAACTGGCCAAAGGGATATTCCATACCGTATGATGTCATGCTCAGTATGTAACTGGGGTGTGGGCCATGAGGTGGGGCAGCTCAGAAACTAGCTGAGCATCAGCTTTGGGTGGTGAGAAATTGTGCTGTTCATCACTTGTTTTGTATATTCTTTTATTATTATTATCCTTTTCTGTCCTATTAAACTGTCTTTATCTCAACTCAAGAGTTTTACTTCCCCCCCCCGCTTTTTTGATTCTCTCCACTATCCCACTGGGGTGGGGGGGAGTGAAAGAACCAACAGCTGTGTGGTTGTTTTAGCTGCTGGCTGGGTTAAACCGTGACAGCAACTAATAGAGAAAAAAATTAATCTTGAAAAAATGAGCATCTTTCAAAGACTCTCTGTGAGCACAAGCAAGCAGGGAGCAACCAATAGGTCTGCAAATTACAGGGCTTCTCTGAAGAATAATTTGGCTGACTTAGCTGCAGAAAGGAGTAACAAGTTGGCTTGATGATTTGTAAGTAAGCCTCAGAGGAAAGGCGTTCTCAGGGAGCAAGCACTTCTCTCTGGCAGCAGAACAGTCTCCCTTGGAAGGGGGACACCTGTGGTGAGCATATGTACCACTGCTGATAAGCCCCCCAAAGCTCAGCACTCAAGAACTCTTAGAAAATATTTGATAATTTGTATGAATGCTGGTAAGAACTGGGGCAGTATGAAGAGTCAAGTGCAGTTCAACTTCATTATACCGTACCTTTAGAGAAGGCAGCATCTGCTAAGGCTGGCCATCAGCTTGTAAAAATGTCTGAGGAGGAGGAGGAATAGTTTGCCCTAATGATCCCACTCACCTGGGCAGGGGTTTTATGATGTCTAACTGCAATCTCTTTAATCTTGGGATCATCCAGCAGCACAGGTTCCCCTGGCTTGGCCCTATTAAAAAACAAAAGCCAGGATATTGATGGTAGAGAGGTACTACCTTCCTGCAGGAATCCTGACATTTTGTGTGAAGTATTCTGCAAGAACAGCACTTTTCTCATTACACCTGCATTATTTATATAATTTGCCTCAAAGATTCAAGTTCCAAATGCATTGTTTTGTATACAGAAAGGCTGCAATGCTTGCTTACCATGGGCGGTTAGGAGAGCCAAGGGGGCTGTATGCTGTCACAGAGATCCCTTTGGATTTACAGTACTTGATCAACTTTTCCTGGGTCAGGTATGGATGACATTCGATCTGCAAGCACAGAAACATGGTGGTTGACACAAAGGTAGACTGCACTGACCTCCAGAGCATAACTAACATTTTAATTCCTCTTGGGTCACAGAAAATGTGACGAAAAGACTCCCAATATCATGATTAAAATCTATCTTATAAAGAAGTTATTCATGTCACAGCAATATCTAGAGGCCTGGTGCAGAGAATAAGGCTTCCTCAGGCTACATATTATGCAAAGATAGTGAGAAACAGAGGAGAAGAGTAAAAGTGCTATCTGTATCGGGAATCAAGGAAATCAGTTTTCCTGAACTACTGGAGAGCCGGACTGCATCTTCAGAGGAGCAGCTCAGAATACCTTAGTTCTGCTCTGAGTCACCCAACCTCTTCTCAAGGAGTCTTCCCAACTCCTGAAGAAGCCCAGGGAGATGCACTTCCCCTAGGTTAGCTCAGATCATGCTGCGGCCAGCCGTTCGGGCAAGACATCCTTTAACTAGAAACAACAGGAGCCTACACGGGCATACTGCTCCACTTGCCACAAGCCATAGCATGACCACAGGGCTATGCCTACACTGCATAACGGGGCACCATGCACATATCTGGCTGTTTCTAAATGCTATAGCTTTGCTACCAGGCATGGTGACATGAAATCCACATATTGCAGTTTATTTAGACCTCAGCTAGACTAGGCAACTACTGTAATGACAGCGTGTGGCACAGGCACACCCATGGAGAAGCAAACTGGAGTGAAACCTGAAGTTCTTTAAAGCGTCAGACTTAGTGCACCTTTTAACATGGGGGTAGTTGGGGTCCATCCCCACCAGAACTTTATAACCCTGAATGAAATCTTTCCGAGTCCTACGTCCCCCGTGTGCTAAGCCTGGCCAGTGCACACACTAGCCCCAAGCCCAGCACCGCAGCAGCACAGGCAGCGCCGTGCCTGCACAGGAGCCAGTGTGGGGATGTTCCCAAGCCAGCAGAGAGGCATTCAGCACCCTCAGTCAAGTGCAAAGAAGTTGCATATTGTAAGGCCCTGATATAACAAGTCAATGTCGCAAACACCTGTCTTGACATGGACAGGGATGGGCTGATGACGAGGGAGTGTTGAACAAGAACGGAGCCTGCGGAGGCAGGATAACGTCTTGTGGGACCACTCCTCTATTCCTGAAACATGTAAACAAAGACCATCTGTGCCCTGTGCCTGTGACAGATCACCACTCACTTGGTCAGCACTGAAGGGGGGGGGGCAGTGAGACTCCC